CCCTAAGCACCAGAGCCAATACCTCCATATAGTTCTCTATATAAAAGAATCCCCAAACTTTTCATAAGAGGAAATCAGGGGGTGTCTACTGAGCACACATGCGCAGTGCGGGCCGCGAGCCGCATCCAGGAAGCGTCCTAGCAGCAGCCGTCTCACTCAAGCGGTTTGTGCCATTTTTAATGAGCAATTTTGGCGGGGGGGGGGGATGTGTGAGTGTGTGTGCGTGCAACAGACACGGCCTTGCACGCCCAGCCCCCACTGCCTCCAGCACATGATTTAAGGCCAGGTTCGTCTGCCTGGTGTTATTCCGAATTTCTTCCCACCCCCCCCACCACCAAAAAAAAAAAAAAAAGAAGAAAACACCCATCCTGTGCTCACCCTCCCATCCGTACCTCCACTCACACCCAGCGGCTGGGCTGGGAGCTTCCCACGAACCCGGTTCTTCTCCCCCTATTGTGCTCCTGGCCCTCGGCAGGAGATTGCAAACCTTTTCTCCCGGCTCTGCTCCCTATGGACACAAGTTGCAGGCATCTTTTTACATGAGGGTGCTCCTGCTAATTCCACCTGGGTTTCCCATGATGTTGACCCCCTAGAGTTTTATTCAGCATCTATTTCCCCCTTGTCTTTGAATACCTTTTCCTCCTGAAGGACCTTTAGTGAGTGCAATGGAAAGGAGACTCTCTTCTTACACACGCACAGACACATCTCGATCTATCTATCTATCTATCTATCTATCTATCTATCTATCTATCTATCTCTAGATACCTACGCTCTCTATATCAGCTCTCTATATATCTCTAGCTCTCTATATATCGGGCTGTCCACACTACTATAGAAAGCGATCCACGTATTGGTTTCACTTAAGGGATGCACTATTCTAGCTTAATTTGATTTTCTCTTCTTTTTTTCCTCCTTCTTCTCCCCTCGGCATGTCGGCCTTTCGTGAACTGTGTGTCTGTGTTTGCAGTCGAAACTCCTGTGGCTGGAAGTCACAGTATAAAATGATGGTCATATAAAATGATACCATAAAGTAAAAGATAAAACAGACGTTGTTGTGACTATAGGCTGGGAAGGGGGGAAGGGTGGCAAAAAAAATTGCTGGTTCCTGCCTTCTTATAAATTATTGAGGGGTCCCAGCTATATGAATGCAATATATGGATTGATCGCCTTATCGAAAGGGCCTCTCAAGCTGATTGACTTCAGGCTTAAACCGTGCAACGGGAGGGATACTTTCTGCTTTCCTGGGTTACAAAAAAATACGGCCTCTTCTGTCCTTTAATTTCCAGTAGGAACTCGCCAGAGGTTATCTAAAGTGATCTGAGTGGTTTCGAAGTTCCCTGGGACTGATTCTTAATTTGATTTCTCTGTGTGGCGTGGAAAAAAATAACTATTAAAAAAAAAAGAGTGGAAGAACTTGCTAGGGTTCAAAAAGGGACATGTGCTTCTATCCTTTGTCTTAAAGGTTGTTTTGAGAAATATTGTTAAATCCAGCTGATCATTCCTGCCGTGTATTATTATTATTGTTGTTATTATTACTATTATTACTACTACTACCATCGTCATCACTATCATTATTATTACTACTACTATTATTATTGCTGCTATGAATGTTAGTATTATGTTATTATTATTATTACTGCTATTACTATTATGATTCGAAAAATTGCCGGCGTCTTCGGTTCATGCAAGAGCCATGCGACCTGGTAAATTGAAAACAGTTGCTTTTTAATGAATGGGGAAAAAAAGGCGAGTTTTATTTGGCGTCTTTCGAGGGGGCAATTTCTGGCAGGCTCATTCCTGAGATGATTTTATTTCTTTAAAGGAGAGCACGAGTGTATCCTGAGCTGGGGGTGGGAAGCCAGGGAGACAACTCTGCCTTGGTTTTGTTTCTGCAAACACGATGGGAGACTGTTTGCTGCGATCTCTGAAGTCGTAAAGACAGTTTATGGGCAAACAATGAGCGTTTATTGGAACCACATGATTACAGAAATAGGATCCTCGAGTGCTTTCAGACTAAATCTGTCTGCCTTCTTCTCCGGATCTCGAGTTCATTCCGGGAGGGGGAGAAAATATTTCTTCTTTTTTCCCCCCTTCGTGATCCCAGGGCATGTGTTGCTTCCGCTGTTTCCGATCGCTCCGACGGATCCCTCTTGCTCGCGTGAGGCCTGCGATTGCCTATGCACAAAACAATTTTTAATGCATCGATTTTCTACTTAGTCTGACGTATTGTCATCGCTCATACACTTGCAATGCAGAGAAACATTTTAGGACTGAATAACGCCGTGATTTATATTCTCCGAGTTTTGCACACTAAACCAGAGGAAATAAATGGCTCCTTTTATCTATAACATCAGGACACAGGAGAGATTATAATAAAATAGCCACGTGCTATTGACAGGTACTTTGCAGGGGAAAAAAATAGAGATTTTTTTTTTCTCCCCCTACCGAGCTCGCCCGTATAAACGTGGAAACTGGCGCATTATTGCAGTATAAATTCTGTCGCCTGAATTTCTCATCTTTTATTAATGGAGAGATTATATATATATATATAAACCGTATTCTAGCTGAAAGCTTAGGGCCCTCACCACGACTAGGAAGAGCTGAGACCAACATAAAAAAACCAAAAACCCCAACCCCATGTTGTTGGGAACCAGGGATACTCTAAAATTCACTTGATCTCCTCTTTCCATAATGTGTGTGAGCGATTAGATAAGCCTGGGATAAATATAACACGTGTGTGGGTGTGTGCGCACGCCTGTGGTTCATTATGCCAAATCTATAACAGGGTCCGGACACTTTTATTGTGCAACTCTAACTATATAATTGCACTAACAGCCGCGAGGAGCCAGGAATAAGACATCCTCCAAACTTGTGCGAGCGTTAGCCGCGGAGGTGAGTGGGGGAACGAATTGGAAAAGCCCCCTCGGCCCCCAGAATAATATATGGGATATGATAAGCTAATCTTTGCCTTAGTGCCTCTGCTTAGGGGAAGATCGATTTTCAATGGGTTTGGAGCACGGTCACAAATGCAGAAATACATGTTATTTTTGGCCATGTTGATAGCCGAAGCTTTGTGCAGCCAACGCTGCAGAGGAATACATTTTGGAGGGGCTGGGGGACTTCTGGATTTAAAAGAATTCGTCATAGGGCGAGATCCTAGGGGTTTCATTTATTTCCACACCCCACACCCCCCCACGCCCTCCTTCAAAGCTCCCGAGTCCCTATTTCAGGCTCCAAGGCAATGGTTTTTGCTCTGTTCGGGAAGGAGAGAGACAGATCTGGTTACTCTTAGCTCTTCGGGGGTGTAAAACTCACGGCTCACCCTGACAATAAAAAGGATCTCTCCTCGGCTTCAGCTCAGGGTGGAGAACCTGAGCTCCGAAAGGCCTAATTTTTAGGGAGGGGTATGGGGAAGAAAAAAAAAAAGGATGGGAGCTATATCCCCCAGTGCAGAAGGTGCCTGGTTTGTGCTAAGGGAGGGTGGGGAGGGTTACATCAATAAGCTGCTTAAAGAGCCCCAAACTTTAAGGTCTGGCTCAGTGTTTGTGGGACCTCCGAAATAAACACAGCCCAGGGAGGGGGGCAGCCAGGACCGGGCCGAGAGATGCGTGTCCCGGGGCCCGGAGCAGTATCGTGGGCACATACCTTGGCACCCCATTTGTGCCCCCCACCCGGTGGCTCTATTCGTAACGAGGGAGGGAGGCTGCAAAAGCAAGAAGCTGGGGAAGAGTTGGGGGCACAACAAGGGTCTTCCCCAGAGCTTCCAGTCTTTGGAAACCCCGGACTCTCGTGGCTTTTGCTATTGTTTCTCCAGGTAGAGAAATCCCCGCACTTGTCTGGTGGGAGCGTGTGGAAATTTCTGCCCGCTGGGTGTTTATTTGTTCCGTATACTGCCACCAAGTGACAGAAGCTTGCATGCCAGCAGCTGGGGACCGTGGTGTCTCTTTGCTGCAAGGGGGGTGGGGGACAGGTTTGGGAGGGCATTGCAACCCCCCCTAAAGGAGTTGTCTATCCGGCAGTTCAAATGCTCGCAGAGAGAGCGGCTTATCGAGTGCACAGGTAGGGGATACGCGGGGGAGGGGGGGGGGGGGGGGGTGTGTGGAAAAATGTTGGCTTACAATAAGGACCGGATTCCCTGGGAAGTTTTAGTACCTTCAAGAGGCAGAGGATCCTTCCCCCCCCACCCACTTCCATAATCACCCCCCTACTAAAGCACCGGGACTTCAAAAAGTTTCCAAGAGCTCTTTGACTTTCTCCCCATTCACTTAGAAGTTGCTTCCCCCCTTTCTTTTCCCTCCGTGTTTTCAATCATCCCGCTGGACGTGAACTCATAAAAATAGATAAGGCATGTCATCTCGGCACCGATCTTCCCCCCTTTGAAAATACGAGTGTATTTAAGCAAATCCTGAAATATTAAATCGTGGGTCGATTAAAGACAATGTAAACGTATAAATTCAACAAAGTACACCGAGGCTGTCTCCAAATATATCGTTTAATTCTGCCTAAGTGATCGCTGCTAAAGAAGCCATCATTAACGCCACTAATATTGTTTCCTGAATTATTCTATTTTTCCCCCCCTCCTTCCTTCGGATTAAATTCCGGCTTTCGGATCTGCAAACAATAAAGTATGAAACTGCCTATAGTTAATGACAACAATTTTTCATTGTTGAGTTCGCGGCCCAGAACGTAATAAAAATGGCAACTCCTTTTATTTTTAATCCGTACACCCAGAATAAGTAATTGGAGATATACACGTATGGGTAATATCGCTCTTAATGATTTTTACGCCGGGTTCCCATTGCCCATGACAACTCGGCGTGACGTCATTAATACAGCTATCTTGTATGTAAAAAAAAAATAAATGTAGGTAATATTTTTTTCCGCCACCAGATACTAAGTCATAAAACTATTTATATATATATATACACACACACACACACATACACATATATATGTATACATACATACATATATGCATATAGATACACATGCATACACACATATATGTATATATAGATATATAGATAAATAAAGATTAGATAGATAAATATCCATATAGCGATAGATAGATATTTAAAGCCCCCCATAACGCAGCCGTGTTAGTTTGCCGCGGTACCTGTCTGACCCGTTCAGACAGAATCGTTTCAGATATAAAACGATCCTTCTCACTTTTGCAAAGCAATATATTTGGGGGGGGGGTTGTTGTTGTTGCTGTTTTTAGTTGTTTTTTAGGGGGTGGGGGGTTGCTTGGTTTTTGGCAGCCAGGCTTTCCCGTAAGCAACTCAACCCTCAATTATTGAACCCCCCCCCCTTTTATCCCCTTAAACACCTTGATTTTGCCTTTCCTCGAGCCACGAGGAGATTCATCCGTAAGTGCAAGTAATGAAGGGACATTTGACGTAGAGTTACATTGCAACTCGGTTGCTCTCCATATATTCCTCAGGCATCGGTAGGTCGCAGGGGAAGCTAAGTTTAGCTGCAACACGGTTACTGGGTCAGTTAAAACAGATCCGTTTCTGGGGTGGGGAAGATTTCGATCCTGGCGTCCTTTGTTGCGCTGAGATTCCCCAAGAAATCTGGTGAAGGGTTGGGGGAAGATCAATCAATCAATCAATCCAGCGATTGGAAAGAATATTTCAGGCGCAAAGAGCCATTTATTCCCTTGCAAAAGAAATGTAGGCAAAGAAATATAAATAAACGCTTATCGGGGTCAGAAAGAACTTAAGATCTTGGGAGAAAGGGAATCAATTAAATAAAGGGGCTAGATGAATTTCTCCTTCACCCCACACCTCACTTCTTCCTGTTTATGAGACATGTGTTTTGACAGTTTCCAGAATTCAGTCTTTTTTTTTTTTTTTCCTTCCCCCGCTTCTGGAAATGTTTCCAGGCCTGAAGAATGTTCTTTACAAGCAATGAGAAAACCAGGCTCTCTTTGGTATTTTGGAGCTATTATTTTTGTTTAGTTTGGGAAGAAAAAAAGGGGAGTATTTGCATTTTTTTTGACGGGGTGGCTGGGAGGTGGGGCAACACGAAAGAGTTCGGCGTACAAAAAAAAGAAGGGGAAAAAAAAAGAAAGAAAGCGAATTGCAAGTTAAAATCTGTTTTCTTCAGCCTCACAACCGGATCGATAGGAAGGTTGGGGGCTGGAGAGGAGAAATGAACGGTCCAGCTCATTACACCGAGCTTCCAACAGGCTTTATGGCAAATATTGTCTTGATGCCCTGCTTTTGGAGCAAAGGGATATTGCAGACACTTGCATGGAGACTGCAGGAATGGCGGGTATTTCATTTTTAAAAAATGGCCTTCGAGGAAAGATATGAAAAAGGGTAGTGGGGCGAGAGAGAGAGAGAGAGAGAGAGAGAAATAGCTATTACTGCTAATTATTGATCTGCGCATCTTTGGCAAGGAGATGCCTTTAATTGGCAAATAAACCTCCCAAATAGCTGTTCCTTTGCAAAAACTATCTGTCTGCAGCGCTGGGCGAGAGTGTAAACAGTCTATCAATCCCTGGGCAGAAAAGTATACAGTGGAAAGAGAGATTTCATCTCTCCCCCCTCTTTCTCTTCCTCTCTCTCTTTTTAATCAGAAGCTGCCAGGCTCATGGACTGTAATTACTGCAATAGAGATGAGGAAAGAAGCAACAGCAAACAATACAGCTCACTGACTGGGAAACAGTGGCCCGGGTAGCAGCAAAGCCGAAGCATCTTCAGATACTTTGATAGGGCTTTTTTGTTGTTGTTGTTGTTGTTGTTTGGCTTTGTAGGGTTTTTTTTTTTTAAAGGGTTATTTAGTGTCAAAGCAATATTTGATGAGGCCAGCCTTGCTGGAAAGAGCTGGAATAAATTTCCTGCGAAAGCCCCAGCTAAATAATTACCAGACAGGAACTCACGTGCCTAATAAATGCCAAGATCTTTTTTTTTTCTCTCCTAAGGCAGAGATAACACGTAGAAGGTGAGATCAGTTGAAACGAGGAAGTCGTGCTATAGCATCACTTCCACCAGCCTCCGAGTATTTAACGCGGACACCAACGCGGTGTTATTCGAGGGCTGCATGGAGAAGACCAGCCATGTATGCACACATGCCTGTGTGTACACCCCCGAGCATGTGGATGTGTGCAGATGTAGCTGCACGGGTGTGCACACGCGTGTTCTACACGCCTGTGTGTCGAAGAGTGCGCAGCTCAAGGTTGCCTACACACCTTTATATACGCTTTCTAGCCGCTCTTTTTTTTTTCCAGACGAGGGCTGTACACCGTGTACACATCACCCGGAGGCACATAGGATACACCCAGAGCCTGGAGGTGTTTTTAAAATATACACCGAGCTTGTGCACACGCAGTCACACACCCGGGCGCAATTCTGATCTGTGGATTCCGGATATCAGCCCCTTTCCCCCCCGACCCCCAACAGCTCATCTTAATTTTCCCTGGAGGCAAAACACTTCGCCCCTGCTTTGGGGTTTTCTGCGTGGGAAGAGCACCCCCGGCCAACCTGCCTCCGCACCTAGGCAAGATGCCCGGGCTCCCAGAGGGCGGTGAGATTTGCCCTGCAGTTGCATTAGCAGGCTCCACCAGCTGCCACAAACAACTTCATCCCCTTCCCTTCCTCCAACAAATAAGCAGGCGTCTGAATTGGCATTCAGAATCCGATCCGGACAGTAGCAATTTTATTAAGGCTTTTGGGGCTGTTTGGGAAAAGGGGAAGGTGGGTGGAGGAAAGAGGTGTGGGGGGGACTGATTTGGGTTTGTTTCCTTTCAGTAATTACTGGGGATAGAAAACACATGTGTTGGGCTTGCATTTTTTGAAGCCTTTTTTTTTCTAAACCAGTTCATCAATTCGCTAATTATAGGTGGAGGAGAGAAAGGGGGGGGGGGGCGGGGGCAGGAGAAAAAAATTCCGACACATACACACCCATATATGCGTGTGTGTGCATGCGTGCGTAGGTGTGCATGTGTATACAACATATATACACACACACACACATACATATGTACATACATATATATATACATACACACACACATATATATACACACATATGTATGTGTGTGTGTGTGTATGTGTGTGTGTTGGGAGGCTTCTCCTGTGATATATTTCTCCTGTGAACATCAGAATGGGGAAGGGAGAGGGGGAGGGAAAAAAAAAAAAGAGGAATATGGCATATGAGTGGTGAATGTTATTTCGGATTTCTGTGAGCTCTTTATTTCTGAGAACAAAGAGCAACTGCTATTAAAGAACTACTCCAGGAGCAGCGCATATTTTCACTGCTGTGTAGCAGTTTTAATAAAACATCTGTTCTTGCTTCTGCTGATGAGTTTACATAATTGTTTGCAGACCAATTTAACCAGAAAGCGCCCTGGATATTTCCCTGTACATGTTTTCAAAGGGGGGGGGCGGTGAGAGAGAGAGAAAAAAAAACCCTTTGGGAGTGAAATACCTTGATGAAATGCTTTCTAGAAATCCCAATACTCTTTTTAAAACAAAATCAATGGGAGAAATATCCAGGGCATTAAATGTGCTAAGAGGAGAGGCGCAAGCAGGAAAACGCCATCTGATTCTGTTACAGGCTTTTCCTCCCAAGAACTCAGATTTTCAGTAGGAAGAGGGACCTATTTTAAGTTTCTTTACGGCAGCTGGGTTGTGTTCACTATAAATCCACCAGACTTTTAAGACTTGCCCTCTGTTTACAGAAGTAATAAAACACTTAACTTTCTCGACTCCTAGTCACACGGTTATCTCACAGTTCTCCACTGCCAGAGCCCCCCTGAGCACCTAGACCAAAACAAAACAAAACAAAATCATCCCACCCAAGACACGACTTTCCCCCCAAACTTTGCCCAGGCTGGGATTGTTCTCAATGTGCTTCCATAGGTGAAACACCCCACGTGAACCAGCCCCGGACAGGCTCCTCTACTCTGCATCTGCAGGAGCTGATGCTACTTGCACTCCCCACATTGCATGGGATTAGAAGGGGTACCTAAAAAGCAGGCAACATACCCAGAAGCAAAGAGTCTTCCTGGACAGCCAGCCATCCACCCCATTTCCTGCCCACTGCAACATTTTCATATCTCCTGGATATATCGCTGGTTTCCAAAGTAACCACGCTTTTAAATGTGTGCAGGGAGGATGCGTACATACAGGCAACACGCATCCCCACACACATGATCTAGGGCACATACGTGTGTCCTCAGGCATCTGCATGGGTGCATGGGCAGGGAGGGTATTTGCAAGGGGGAGCGCTTTGCTTGTTTGTTTGTGTCCCCAAAATCCCCGGGTATAAAATGTCCAATGCCTGGAGAAATAGGAGAAGCAGAAGGAAACGCAGAGGAAAGTAAACTCCAGTCAATCTTCCCTCTGTGTATTATTGTGATATCTCCACGAGGTTGCCTACAAGTTGAGCTCAGTAGGGTGGGATCCCTGGAACAAGACTAACAAGGTACATATGCTAAATAACGTGATGCGTACTATCACCGATCTGCTTTTTTTTTTTTTTTTTGGTTAGAAACTTTATTTTTTTTTTCCTAGTGGCACTCAGGGGAAGCCTTAATGTTATAGAAGATGAATACACGCGCTTTTTTTTCAGTTGTAGCCTCCTTTATGGCTTTATTGCTACCATTGATTACTTTGCTTTGTTACAGAGAGGAAAAAAGATCATAAAATGCTCTCGCATCCGGGTTCCTGTTATAGCTAGGGGGAAAAAAATATAGCTCCCCCACCCTTCTTTGTCAACTAAAATCTTTTTAGAGATACATCGCTAAGAAGGAATTAAGGGTATTGATTAATAGCAAGGAAACACATGCACATGTTCGGATTTCACCATGCCCCCTCTCAGCCCTGCATCACACCAGAGCACTCTGCCACCAGTCCTAAATTTTCAAATCAAATGTGCACCCGAAGGAAGAAGAAGAAGAATGGGGGGGAGGGAGGAAGGCCAGGCTTTCCCTTGCCATAAGTGATTTTTTTAAATAGCAAGCCACCAGCATGATGAAGCTACCTCGCAATATTTACAGATCAGCAGGTATGTGTTACATTTAAGAAGCAATTTATGGCTCGAGATTGAAATTAAAATTAGATTAGCTGTCTTCATTTCAATTAGGGCGAGGTGCAAGGCACCAGGAGCAGAGATAATATCATCTTCTCTTTAATCTAACTAAATATTTGCCATGGAAATGTCTTCGCCAGCTGTAAATATCTGGACCCATAAATTTCTGCAAACGTAAACACGAGGTGTTGCCCTCACCCAAGAGTTTCCAATCAACTAAAAATTACAAATAGAAGCAGCTGCTATTTTGGGGCTGTAGTTATTGTGGAAGATGTACACCCTGGCAGGACCAAATGGTCAGGGGACTATTGGAGACAGAGATATCCAACAGCCCTAAAAGAAAGCCTCAACTTTGGGGTTAAACGTGAGTTGTTCGGAAGATTTGCTGTCTTTTATTCCAGTTTTTCTCCCCAACACCTTGAATTCTCTACAGGACACACTATCCATTCAGCAGTCGCCATGTTTTGTTCCCTCTTTCTGTCATATTTTCTCCCAAAGAACACAACCATTTGATTCCCTCATATTGACCAGTGCGACGTGAAAAGAAGAAGAGGAGAGGAGGAAAAAAAACACGAAGAGAATTTATAGCTTAATATTCTGTGGACATCTGTGATTTATTACTTTGAATGCTGGGCTATTTTGTTACCAGATATTAAGAAAACATTAAAAAAAAAAAAAAGACTGTGGTGCTAAAGCACAGTGTCCATTTAAAAA